CTGGAACAGAAACCGATAAAGTGGACGAGGGTGGATAATGAGACTGATGTGAAACACATCTTTGCATACAATGAGTAAGTGGGTTTCGATAAATTGTCGAAGACAACATCATTGAGGAGATTTTCATTTCATACAAAAGTGGATCCCATCAGAAAATGACGGCCCATTTTCATTGTTCGGCAGCCATTTCGCTTCATTTCGCAGTTGAAGTTGACACGGTCCACGAGACCTGCTCTCTCGTTTCGAGCGAAAATGACCGGAACGGGCATCATCAAAGCTGGGACTCATTCTCGTAAAAGACATTCGATTCTCTTCATGCACTTTCATACAAAATTGAATGATTTACTCATTAAGATTTATGACCGGTATTGGCTTAAAATACACACACACACACACACATACACGCATATGTTCTTATTATGTATAGGAGGCAAGATAGAGTCGGACAGTCTTCTTGACTTGATATTTCGTTTTTGAATAGGCTTTCAAAACTATCAGCAAATCACACCCATAATTCATGTTCACACTATTTCATTAAAGGTGACGAACGACCGGCAGTAGAATTTTCACACAATCATGTGATTAGAACTGACGTTTACATACAATTTCACAAGAGCAAGCAGGGCTATGTGAAATTGAATGAAAACGTCAGCTCTACTCAGTCGTTCGTCACCTTAAACAAAATAAAGTGTACATAAATTATGGGTGTGATTTGCTGGTAGTTTCGAAAACCTACTCAAAAACGAAATACCAAGTCAGGAAGACTGTCCGGCTCTATCTTGCCTCCAATACATATGTATAGGCATAGATGGATATAAAATGCCACTTTTACTATATATAAAAAATACTTATATGATTGTGTGAAAATTCTACTTCCAGTCGTTCGTCACCTTAAACGAAATAAGGTGAACACAAATCATAGTTCGTGGGGTAGGTTGACATTTTCAGGAATGAGTTACAGCTCTAAGGATGTACGTCAGTCCGTTTTCATTCGAAACGAGAGCATATTTCTTGTGAATTGGGTTAGCCTGAACGACAGTCGTCTTCTGGTGACGACGAACCACGAATCTCTTCATCAGCCACTTTCATATAAACCCCAAGTCTCACCAACAAAGGCATCCTAAAGAGCAAGAAATCATAGTTTATCCATCAAGCCCACCAAGACGCTGAACCTGTCCACTTTTATGTCCAATTATCCTATCCTAATGCGGCCTCCCATGATTTGGTTGGTCAGCTACGGAGAAACTCCACATGTTTGCAAAAGTATGAAATGGATCCAAGAATTCCTTCAGCTAAGGCATAGATTAGCATATAATGTACAAGTGCTGTACTCCACTCAGATCATACGCGATGATGAAGTACTACTGATACATAAATTCCACCATAATCCTATGAATAGACTATGGCGGTTTCACTAAGTCGCACGTAGCCTAAACTCATCAGATTGTGGAACTTTTCGACGTTATACGACTTTGTACGACTTGCAGCGGGTGCACATCTTGTTCAAGCTCTACTGGCAATTCTGACACATACGACTATGAATAAATGACAGTGAAGTCAGAAAAGAATGGGCCAGTTTACAAGCCAAGATTGTAATCTGGCGAGAGATGTGTTTAGGACACTTGCAAGTACGGAATCAGAGTCTGTGTCTGGCAGACGTAAATTGATGGTACCAGAAAGTAGAGAAAGTCAATAATACTGTACTGCAAAATCACTCTGCCAGGCTTAATTGACAATTCCCACTCAAGATACATAAATCGGATGCAACAAAGCTATGCAGGACAGGACAAGGTTCCTGAGAATGCGGACCAGTAAAATATGATTGTACGGGGAAAACTAACAATTTACTCAATTTTGCCCTTCTTTATGCATTTCTCACATCCTCTCTCTACACCAACATGTTGCAAGATTTTGTGTTCATGGCCTAATCTTGATGTGTAGGAGATCTGTAGACCCACCCGGCGCCGAAAAGTGGAACTGGCCAAGACAGGACAAACAATAAAATGGCCGATATTTGCATTTTGTCATTATCAAATTTAGTCCAATAGTGTACCGGGATTTTTCGTTTCAGAAGTAGCTCTCCGAAACCGCCAGTAGATTTAATATGAGAGGTCAAGTCGAATTTTCCCACGATCAGGTGAACAGACTTTTCAGTTTCCACCCAGTTTCATATAGCTTTGCATTGTCATCATTTAGCAAGCATTACTATGCCAACTCATATAATTGTGGGAAAATTCAATTATCCCTCGTTCATAATCTTGCACAAAACGGGGTGAATACAGCTCTTGTATGAAATGTACCGAACGCGAAACAGCCAATCTCGTGAATGCGAGCAAGGGGAGTAGGAAAGTGATTTGGAACTATTTTCGGCTGTTGGTAGTGCTTAAGAAGAGAGAGACATACAATGCTGAATATCACATGCATTACTGGATCATACTATGAACCATTTCATGGGAGGCCTCATTAATTAAGTGTGAGTAGTATGTATGAGTAGACGTGTGCTTTTCGCTCTGGCGTGGCCAGTTCCCGATTCGAGTCCCGTCCAAGCCAGTGCTGCCACACGATGCAGCATTGGACGATGTGGGTGTTTTGGGTGTGAAAGAGGGTACAAAGCCTGGCGCCGGTTGTGCGGCAGACAAGATCGTCAACGGTCCAATTGACACCGTCTCCGGCTCGTATTGGCTTCATCGTTGTCACCGGCCAGACGACTCATCCGAACCCGCCCAGCCCGACGGACTCGGACGCCGATTGGTCGCAGGCATGCGGACATGCGGGCTTGTGTGTTTTTGCTCTGGTGTGGGCTTGGTGGGCTTCTAGGGCCGGGTCTACGAGACGACGGTCTGACAAACATGTCTGCAAAGACGAGACAACACCGACGACAGCCATCAGAAGGTAAATATCCACCCATTCACACACCCACACACACACATAGCAGACATGCACATACGCATGCCCATACAGTCGGGCCTAATTACACCCGGTCATAGTCACTTGAGACGGCCAACGTTAGGCGCATGACATGCGCGCACGGTTGAGTTGCCATTCCGTTGTGAGGTCAGGTCGGATGAACTCTGACCCGTGCCCATTTCTCGGCCATTGGCCACCAGCGACCACAGTCTGCAGCAGGAGCACTGACAACGAGCTGTATCACTTTTTCTCCGGCCCATTACTGCCATTCGCCCACCCACCTTCCGGCCTTTGACACACCCACCCACACACACACACACACACAAATCTACCTACATATGTACATAGATAGACATTGAAGCCGTTAATGCTGTCCGGATAGCGGGTCGGTATGATTTGCAAACTAATGAGAGCAGTCGCCTTGACGAGGGTCTGCATGATTCGGACAAAAAGACCTTAACGACGGAATGAGGCTGGGGCCTGAAGAGATGGGCTCGTTTATCCGCTCGCCACAGAGTCCTTGCTACCACGACTACGCCTTTGTGTGTGTATGTATGTATGTGTGTGTGTGTGGCCCAATAGTAGCGCTGGCAGCCGCATCGGTAGAGTCCCTGAGAGAGGCTCGGACTGGCCGCGTCTCGATTGGCGTCTGGTGGGACTTGACTCCGGCAACGCCAACACGCCGATAAGCACAAGAGGGTACAGACAGGATGCACGCATGCACCGACAGCACCAATGCACACACTGCCTCATCGAGGCCTGTTCGGCTGCGATACCGACGGACTCGGACTTGCATCCTCTCACAGCACAGCACACGTACGTGCATTTGTGTGTGTGTGTGTGTGTGTGTGTGTGTGTGACAGTTTTCGAGCGCACTCACGCAAGTGGAGAGGAATCGCGAGACACTGTTCTGCTGCGGTGCTGGAGGAGATTTCCTTTCGAAGGTATGAAGACCGAGATTGTGAAGTCGTTGGTCGAGGTCGAGGTCTGGTTTCGGGGAACAGAATCTGCTTCTTCAGCTTACTTCCATTTTGGGTGAAAGTG